ATATTTTAGGAGATAGGACGTGCTGGAAGGGATGGGAGGTTGTCCTACTGTCACCTATTTTATGATGATGAGACATTTTTCAAACTTCGTAGTCTAATGCACAGGTAACACGATTATTTTTATTTTTTATTTTTTCTCACCGTCAAATTGTTCTTTAATGCATTTTCTAATTCTCAGTGAAGGAGTAGATGAATATGCAGTGAACAAATTTCTGCGTGAAGTCCTTCCTGCTGATAAAAGCTCCTGTGGGAAAATCTGTTCATTAATCAAAGAATCTGCTTCACGCAGGTTTGATGTGAAAGAAGAGGTACTTTATTCTGCAGTTCATTTCAATTTATCGAATTTGATTACTGAGAATTGATTTTCAATTAAAATTTCTGACAGATTTCATAACATCTTGTTGAGAATCATGTTGATATTTTGATAATCATAAGGGATTTAAAATTTTGGAAGCTCCAAATACATGATGTCATTAGGATGACCATGCTACATTAAAACCCCATTTTTAGCATATTATAGTGTAGGTGATCACTGTATTTGTACAAAAATGATTTTTTTAATCTGTCTCTTTGATAAGTACTTGAAGGCAAAAAGATCAAGATTAATATAGGTGGGTTTCTGTGCCGTGATTAGGAGTTTTTCTTTTCGGACACATCTATCCGTTTATGCGACATTTAACATACTAGTAATAATCTGCTCCTGTGAGGAAAATCTATACAACATATGTTGCCTATTTTAGTCTAGGTCTGCAGTTTAAAACATTTGTCCTATACTTTCCTTTACCAGGTGATGCTTACTCTTCTGACACGCTTGGAGTTGGGTAATGTGCAGTACTTACAGTTACTTCCGCAGATAAATGCAACTTGCACTTTGGCTTTCCATAAGGTGCATGCCAGACACATGTTTGCACGTGGAATTTGTCACACAAAATGAATAAATTATGAATGCTTATCATATATTTAAACTTTAATTTTTATACAGGACATTCTAATCTTCTGATTGCTAAATTTTATCTGAAATCTAGAAAACGAAATATGGTTTGACTGTTTGAATAATTATTTAGTTGCGTATATTTTTAACTTTTGCAGACTCCTCCGCTATTACTTGCCCAAAAGGTCTCTGCTATAGCTGTAATTCTAAAAAGGTAATAATAGTAAGGCATATTACATTTCTCGGCCTTTCACTTTTTCAGACTTTTTCCCCTGTTTTCTCTGGATTATACTGTTTTCTAAGTTATGTTTATGCTATGGGGTATGATTCCAGGCTTTAAGTATATTAAGGTATATTTGCTGGTGAAACCTGGTTCCTGATTATAATCTTTCGATTAGAGAAGTAGTTTAATTCACTTACACTCATACTTATGTTTAATTGACTCGTTGTTGTGATTTTTCAGATCTGAAAAAAAGCATGGGCAATATATTTTTGACATTCCTACTGTGGCAAATGACATGGGGGTTTCAGCAGTTGAATTAACAAACCAGTTGTACGACCTGAAGGTTGGATTAGTGGATGCAAATTTTTGAGTTCACGTTTGTGCGCTTAACAAATACTCCCTCTGATTCTAAAAAATGTGACGAATAAGGATAAACATTAATTTTCATTATCTTCGGTAAAACTTGTTAGTTTTTTTTTTTTTTTTCAAGTATCTTTATCTTAATATTCTCTCCATCTAAAATCATTCCTAATAATTTTATTATCTTTTCTCTGTAATAAATATAATTAAAAAGATAAGGGTATAATTGAAAAAAAAAGTAATTAATATAATTTTAAGCTTTATAAATGACAAATACTTGAAACAAATATTTTTATGAAAAACCACAATTATTTTGAAACAGAGGGAGTATATGTAAAAAGTGCCTGTGTAGGTTTTGTTTCTTCTGAGTAACGACACTTAAGCAAAGATGTGAGATCCTATGATTGAAGGTTGATATGGGAAATATCTTCATATCACTAAGTCATTCTTTAAACTGTCAAATCAAACTGAGAATGAATACAGTAATGTTTATGGAAGTTTCCAAATTTTGATTATGGATACTAGTCCAAGGGACTAATACTTCCAATACTTGCCCCTGCATCAAACCTCCAATTAACCAACAATAATCATGTTAAATACTGTTGAATGTGATTGAAAGAAAAATAATTATATTATCGTAGATTTATAATAATTTAGCCATAACATAATTCTCTTGTGTATGGTACTGGAAGCAATATAAATACAATCTGACCTCATTATTTTGTTTATTCTCAGTTGATGGGAGAAATAACTTACGAAATGAAGGACATGGCTTACTGTTATAGGATCATTGAAGTCCCTACAGACTTTTTATCACTATCAAAAGATATTACCCAATGGTTATCGGAAGTTGAAAATTCCAAGGTAAGTAAATTCTGATAAGCATGTGGTAGGTATTTCATTCTGGTATTATTTTGAAATATTTTCATCTAGGATGTTGTATCCTCTGCTCAATTTGTTTTTATGACTGATTCGATAATTCGTTTAAGATCGCATGTTACATTTTCTTCATGTTTGTGTGGTCAAATTTCATGTACAAGTTATCAATGATGGATTTATTTCCTCATGGTTCTTTTTTTTTGAGTAGGTACGGAAAATGGATGCAATGTTTAATGCTGTATATTTTGCATTAAATCTATGTGATAAGACGCAAGGTTGCAGTGACACCAATCACACACCATGCTTGCAAAGGAAAATATTAGATTACTTTTCTGGAGTTGATAATGCTGGTTTCTGCAATAAAATTGGCCAAAGCAGGTTCTTTCTAATTTCTTTGAGCCATTCTGTACTAGAGAACACTAATTTAATCTATGAAGTGGCTTTAAACATCGCGAACTTAAATTCTATCGCATATTGAAACGTCAGAAATAAAATTCTCTAGCAAGTAGTAAAATACTATGTTGATGTTAAGTAAATACTTATGCTATATGGTACATTATCTTGAACTAAAATTAGTGATATTTACATGTGCAGCCCTTTCCTGCGAGCGGATATAAAGGTTAGAGTTCACATTAACATTCTCATAATCTTAAAATATAAATAAACTCGATGCGTATCATGTATAGAATAATCGTTTTTGAAAACTTACCTGCTCCTTTGGGTATCGCCAGGTCTTTCTGCAGAGCAATTCACAGGCCCGATTTACCCCAAGAGCAGTTGCGAGGGTAATGCATGGAATTGCAAGCCCAGCCTATCCTTCAACAGCATGGAGTAAAACTCATTTCTGGTACATAAAATTCTAATTTTTTCTTTGACGAACCTTTGAACTATTGTGCATATGATTGAGTTAGGATACTGACACTTGTGTCAGTATCAATAGACAAACATTAATCATGATTTGCTGATCCAAAACTTAGTCTTTTTTGAGAAAAGAGAAGGAAACTCTAGGAAGCAGTAACCGTTCCTTTCATATTTTCCCCTCCCAATTTTATTTTCCAAACATAAGATAAATGATTATTTTATTTTATGTTATTTTTTTATGGTTTGCTACCATTCATTGGAGCAAATTGCTAAAACTGAACTTTTAATATGGATTTCAGGGGAAGGTATATACGAATAGGGTTTAAGGTTGTGATGGAAGCAGCAAAGGAAGAACTTAAGAATTTCGTTGGAAAAGATATGCTCTAATCATTTAGGACTGATTGATTTTTCCATCTGACATTTGAATTGGGGATCAGAATCCGTCCAAGACATGCATTGATCCAAGAACCAGAAAAAGAGCTCAATAGTCGTTGGACTAAAATTAGGGACTCGTGTGGCAAGTTACTAGTGTCGTAAATGTGGCGCCAGCACATATTTGTCTTCTGAAGTTGAGACAGAAGCGAAAGGAAAAATGAAGCTCTGCCCCGTTTTGTGCTTGCATTTTCCAATTGTCCGTTGGGAATTGGGATATTATGCGTTTGGAGGAATCAAGGATTTACAATCCTGTGCTGTCTGATATTTTGTTGTTATCACCTTGTCCTAGACTGCTATCCCTTGGATCTTAAAGGAAAAAGTAGGATTAACTAGCCCAACTTTTAGGTTTTTCCTATCTTGAATAACACCAATGTCAATAATGTTATCATTTGCTTACACTTAAATATCAACTGCAATTATTTGGTCATATGTATATATATATATATAGTAATCCATATTAGCACAAAACAATGAAAAAGTTGTTAACCTTTTTTTCATGTGAACTAAGTGATATTCAAATATTGTATATTTTATTCGGTTGAAGGATAAATGAAGGGAGTTACAATTTTTTCCAGTCTTAAATTTGTTAGCATAGCGGAAAAAAGAGTTTTAACTTTTAGTGCAGAATGCAGCGTCTATTCTCTACGGAGTTAAAAAGTAGAAGAACAAACATATTAAAAAAAATAGAAGAAATAGTAGATAGGATGCTGTGGTAATGAATAATAAATATTAGCCAAACCCTTGGCATTATAAAATTTTACTTAAATGCGCTCCCCTAGTGTATTGTTTCTTATATCATCACATTTCAAATCTGGATATTTTCTTATATTTATTGAGTTTTAACGTACAGGTATTTTAATATACAGAAGCCTAGTAATAAGAGTTTATATTTAAAATATAGAATGTCAGTTTTATAGATATATTAAAATAGTTTTTAATTAATTTAAAACTTTGCTGATACAATATACATAGTGTAATTTCTTGAGGATATTTTGTAAAATAAAATAAAATAAATAAATAGTGGACGTTTTGAACTTTAAATTTAAAATTATTATATTTCTGTACTTAATTTAAAATAAAGTCCGGCATATTCTAGTTGAACCTTCTAAACAAGAGAAGCATATTAAGGTGTGAAAGGAAAAGTATGACCGTTAGTTAGCGCTTGGAAGAAAAAAGAAGCAACCCCAACCAACCATTAAGAAGATACTATTTCATTCATCTCTCTTCTGAAATGAGTCTTAGTTTTGTTACTTCCAAGGATAAAACTTCCTAGATCCCTTTAATTTACAGATTCCAATTTTCCCAACTTTCTATGGACGAGGCTGCAGCCATGCATTCTCTACACCCATCATCAATCTCTTCCAATTTCCCTCTCATTTCTGCCTTTGTCGCTTTTGCCCTTGCCCAATCCATCAAGTTCTTCACCAACTGGTTCGTACTCCCTTTTCTTTCTTCCTTCATGTCTCCTTAACACGTAAATCCAATTTGATGTGGTTTTTATGGTTCTAACATTTAGTTGTAGCTGGTGTAGTTTAAGACCTCAAGATTCCCAACATATCTTTTGATATTCATGGACATGTGAAAGGGTATGTTCGGATGTATGGTTCAAAGAGAAAGGGCTAATTTTTCATTTTTAAAGTATAGAGAATTATAAAATACCTTCAAGTAAAAGTAAGATATTCTCGTATGGTTTAAAAGTCTTAATGTTTCTTAGATATACAGGTTTAAGGAAAGAAGATTGGATCTGAAGCAATTAGTTGCGTCTGGTGGAATGCCATCATCTCATTCAGCAACTGTGACTGCTCTTGCAGCTTCCATTGGGTTGCAACAAGGCTTTGGAGGACCTCTTTTTGCTACTTCCTTGGTTTTCGCCTGTATTGTATGACTTCTCTATTAGTTCTTCACACAATACTCAACATCTCTTACCTTGATATTTTATTTACTAATTACCATGACCTGAGATACTCGATCTATTATTGCTCCATATCTGCACCCATGTCGGATACATTGTATAATGTTTTTGTTAAGTTTGAAGTATAATAGGAGCGCACAACCTAAATAAAATACTAGTACATTAGGTGGGAGAGCCTCAAAATTTAACCTTGTCAAGTAGTTCATTTTACGTGAGAATCCTAGTATTGTAACCCCTTTAAAACTTCACATCTACCACGATTTTCACTTTACCAACACTGAAACCTGTCATTCTTTTTTCTTATGATTTCATTCATATATCTGTATTTGATTTGCACCTTAATTTACCTCATAGGTAATTTTTTGTAACCCAACTCTCAATGAAAAAGTCAATCACAACAGGAGAGTCTAACCTAAAAACTAGTTCATTAGACAAGAGAGAAACAGCTAAGTGTTAGACTTCAACTTCAATCCAAAAAGTCAATCACAACAGGAGAGTCTAATCCAAAAGACTAGTTCATTAGACACGAGAGAAAGAGCTAAGTGTTATACCTCAACTTCAATCCAAAATCTTAAAATAATAGTTTTTTTGGTCTTTTTATCATACTTAACTTGATCATTTTTATTTAATGGAGCTCACACTTGAAGTCCACACCTAAGCATCATCTAAAGAAGAAAGAATGCCATGGGAAGATATTTAAAATGTAATTATTTAAACAACTAACATGCACCTAAGTTAGAGAATGAGAAAGTAAAGTAATGCTGGTTGTGTAAAATAAATTTCTGAAAAACTGATTGGTGGCAGGTGATGTATGATGCTACTGGTGTAAGATTGCAAGCAGGACGCCAAGCAGAGGTTTGATGCCTTTGCTTTACTTCTATGCAATATTCTGTTATTGATCTCTAGCAGATGAAATGCCATGGAAGTATGATTGCTTTGCATCAAAGCTTTACTCCTTTATTTAGTTGGTTTCACTGAATTTTGTTGATTTTGAATCAATGGATTTTCCCAGGTTTTAAACCAAATTGTCTATGAACTTCCTGCTGAGCATCCTCTTGCCGAAAGCAGACCACTCCGGGAACTTCTTGGGCATACACCCCGTCAGGTTATCATTTTTCATTTGATTGTTTCCTACAATTATAAATATTTGATGGACCTAAGCTTAACATTGAAATTCAGTATTATATAAAATTAATAAAAATAATCAAATATCTAATTCTATCCTCGAATCGGTTTAATATTATGAAAATATTCCTCTAATAAAGTTTATATATATTCTTTCAATATTTTATCATTTTCATACACCATTTCACTTTCTACCCATGTTCCATTTACTCAGTTTTTTTCCTCTCCTTTTACTTATGAGGTTTAATTACTCTTTTTAATATTTGTTAGGATGATATAATAGAAAGGGAGAGAATAAATAAATAAATATATAATATATAGGAAAGTAAGATTGATTGGATGAATTAGAAGAGACTAAAAATTTTCTATAAGACCTTCTAAGAAAGAAAACTATCAAGAAAAAAAAATTAACTTCACAACTTAAAATTAACTTAATTTGTAGAATTTTTTTCATACAGATTTTACTATTAATGTAGAAAATAATTTTAGCTTATTTTGAATTTAAGAGATTTAAAAAAATATTTAAATCTATATTTTATAATTTCTTGCCAAAAGAAATGATATTAACACTTAAGTTTTCTTCAATTATATCGAGATCTCAATTTTTTTAAATTCTACAAAAACTTTTCATTTTCTTTAAAATATATTACATTGTTACACGTTTTTTATTATATACTTTTTTAAGTTTTAGAAAAACACACTTGATGAAAACTATCAGAAATTCTTTTTTCTTTCTCTCTGACACGATTGTTTTCCTGACAACTGTAGGTCATTGTCGGTGGGATACTTGGACTCTTGACAGCAATTGGGCTTCTAAAGCCCGTGACTAGGAATTGAGAACTTTGTTGACATTAAGCAAGGGGCACTGTCAAATCTTACTTGACTTCTGTATGTGCTCTCAAATTCTTTACTGAAAAATAAGTCTGCATTTTCATCAACTCCACCTTCTGTTCTGATGTCCACAACAGAATTAAAAAAATGAATGCAATAGACTCCATGTATTAAATACGTAGGGTTCTGATAAATTTCTTTTACTCACACATCAATAAAATACAACCATCAATTTATATATTGGAATATGACGTTGTAGTTCTAAGTCTTAATAAGATACAAAATATTATTACTAATTCTTGATTTTGCTTTTATAACTAAAACTTCTAATTAAAATACTTAAATGCTTTTGTGATTCTTCTTATTAGCTTCTTGCAGTTATTGAACAATATTGTAGATTGATGGAGACTCTGGAAGAAGATAGTCTTTATTTTTTAGAATTAATTTACTAATAAAAAATAAGATAAAAATAATCAATATCATTAAAATATAATGTAGAAATTCCAAAACCGAAAAAAAAAAAATTATGATTAGTATCTAATGATAATTAGAAAATAATAATATATGAAATTTTTTATAACACATCGACTATTCTCCTATGTCTTTTGACTCTAAATACCCCCTTCACAACACTTTCCTATAAGAGTATAAGAAAAGTCAAATACAAGCTTAAAGTGTTTTTGACTCGGTGTGTCAAAATTTTATGGACTTTAAGTTCATTATAAAATTAATATTATCCACTTCATTGCTTATTCTAGGTGATGTAGGACTTTCCAAGATGTATTATTTTAATCAATTCAATAATCTCCACTATGATTAAAATAAACACATTTTCATTTTTATCTTCATTGCCTACACCAACAATTATTCATACTCCACCATAAAAAGTATACTCATTTGGAATTAAATCATTCCAAAAATTTTCTTTCACTACACACACTTGCATAAATGCTAATCTATGTCCATGTATCACCACACACCCTAGATCAATATTAGTCAATGCCCATGCACAATTACCGCTAGCAAATACTCATCTTTAACTCATCTTTTACAAAAGATCACTCTCTCCCAAAATGAGGAAGACCGTATTAATATATGAATCTGACTCATAGTTTTGTGATGTTTCTCCGCTTCGACAATTTTTCTTTACATGCCCAAACTTTCCAGGTATCTAACATACCACATTCTTTTTATGGTTCTTGTTCTCATGTATCTCACTTGTAACAGTCATTATTGATTTTTTTGACATGCCTTCATTAATTTTCATTCTCCTTTCTCAAAAAAGAATCTTACCAACAACTTCATTAAAACTTAATGTTTCCTTGCCATACGTCAAGACAAACTTGATAAGCTCATTGGAAGACAGAAGAGACCAAATGAGTCTTAATGATATATCTTTTTCTTCAATCTTGAGTCCAATAACCTCTAATTCAGAGACAATTTCATTAATATTATTAAGATGATCATATACTTTCGTATCATCACCCATGCGTAAATTATAAAACTTCTCATTTAGCAATAACCGAATTGAGATGCCCTTTGCTGGATATAAGTCTTTGAGTTTCTCCCAAAGTTCTTTTGTCTTCTACATCTTCTGCATGTTTGCAAGAACATTCTTAGCCAAACACAAGCGAATTGAACTTGCAAGTCTCAAATCTAGTTCCTCCAACTTCTCTTCCTCCATGTCAAAAGTTTTTCCTTTCAATGTCTTGCGTAATCTAGATTGTATCAGCATATCTTTGACTTGAGTTTGCCACAAGCTGAAATTGATCAATCCATCAAATTTCTCTATGTCACATTTGACAACACTTGCAAATGACATTGCAACTTCAACAACCAAGAATGATTATCTAACAACAAGAAATTAATATTTTCTAGTGTAGAAGATTTGATTAAGCTGCAACCACAAAGCATACTAAGATTATCCCGCTGAACCATAAACTCTGATGGGAAGAAACGTCATGAAGAACATCAACGTTTTTATCCCCGAGAATTATCCTACTAATAGAGAAATAAAGATAAAAACAATCAACACAAGAATATAACGTGGAAACTCCAAAACAAGATAAAAATCCATGATCGTTATCTAATGATAACTAAAAAATAATACCATGTGAAAGTTTTTACAACACATAGACTACTCTTCCATGCCCTTTGAACCTAAATACATTCACACTCTCTAAAGCATAAATCAAAACTAAATCTCGTAACACTCTACTACAAGAGTATAAGAAAAGTCAAATTCAAACTTAAAGTGTTTTTGATTAAGGTGTTAAAACATCATGGACTTTAATTTAATTATCAAACCTTGTTAGCAATGCTTAGTAATCAATCATAGTAATTCTTGATTGTCTCACATTCATTCATTTCTTAGAGCTCAAGTTCTCGTATCAAATTTAAAACTTGCATGCCTTGAATTTTCTCATCTCCAACATGTTCTTCCTTCAAATAGACTTATATTGTCTTTGGTGCTTTAAGAGTCATTATTCGAGTAAAGATGGTTTGTGAAACACCAATAACTAAATACACTTGCATCTTTAGTTTCTTTGTGATGTTTAATTTATGAAGAGTGAGATTATCAAACAATGTGAGAACTTGATATTCTGTTTCGATAGCTTCCCATATATCTAAAGCCTCCAAGTTATACTTCAAATTCATTGCCTAGAGTTCATAGCTCTCTCCATCAAAGATAGGAGGAGCAATATGTGAAAAACCTGTTTCAACTTCCTTTTTTTTTCACAAGTCACATAAGAAAATAACTCTGAATACCAGTTTGTAGGTTTTATAAAAAAACAAAGAGGTTACAAGAGGGTACTGAATGAGGAGAGTACTTTTAGTATTCATAGCATAATACATTTATAAGAATTCAATTGAAACAAAAAATTTAACTACTTGCTCCTTAAGTGTAGGAATGGCTTATTCACTAATTAAAAAAAAAACTAAAACAAAAATAAAACAAACCACGTAAGGCATGCCAAAAACAAATAATTAACATAGACTAATTTCGTTAATGAAAAAGGCCACATACAAGTTTGATCAATTTTTCTTTTGTTATTAGAAGCCTTGAACTTATTAAAAAAGGGTCATTATCTTATTTTTATATCATTTGGTGCTTTCTTTTTGAAGTTAAATGCCTCCAAAACATGAGCATGGAACAAAAGAAGAAGATAATTAGGATGAGCATCTTACATAGTTTCTCAATTATATGGAAGAGTTGCAACTCTGACTTACCTTTGTCATCACAAAGTTCCACAATTCGAAAGCCCAAAGTGCATGCTTTTCCATTGGGGTCATTTTCCTATGTTGCGTAACAGATTCGCCCACCGAAAATTTCCTTATCCTACTTCAACGACAACAAACCATTGGAATGTTTGTTTCAAGCATTACCAGTATTCCATTCTCATTACACTATTTTGACATAATGGATGTCTTTGCTTCCCCTTGTCATGCAATGGAGAGCCTTAGCTTGGTATCAATAAATCTTCATGTGTGCCTTGTAACTCTAATTTGGGTCTTTGGACTATGAAAATAATCAAGTTGAATTATTCAAGTTGTACCAATCTAGATCGATAAGGGACTACCAAGATCAATTTGAGTTATTGGTGAAGTTAGTTCTTTGGTATGTCACCAAAATTCTTTTTAAATTATTTCATCTTTGGGCTCAATGATGATATACAATGAGAACTAGCATTCTTAAGGCCACACTCCTTTTCGTATGCTAGGACTTAGGTACTCATTGCTCTTTTTCTACCATTTCCTAAGTCATCCCTAATCTTTTAGATCATTTGCAACAATTCTACGCCACCCATAATTTGGACAACAATGGGTGACTTGTTTTCCATGTATTGATTGTCATCTTATTTTTGTTAGCCTTAGGGAATCTTTAAATTTAAAGATAATATTTTTATCTTCAAGGTTTGCACCTCTCTTGCTCATCAAACCCTAAATTTGTCTACATAAGTGTGGGAAGATATTTTGATGGACCTCATGACCCATCTTTGTTGGCCCACGACCATTTTCTAATATGAGTCATAGTGAATTGCCTCTCAAAGTTTTCTCATTTCATTATCAAAGGTAAGTATGATGATTGACTACGTTCAACAAATGCTATTTATAGATTCAAATTTGCCTATGAATTATAACTAAAGTAGGTACAAAGTATTTATGAGGGTCGTTTCTTCCCACTGTTTGCAACAATGAAATATTAAAAAAAGTAAATGTTCCACCCAATAGCAAATATTTACGTACAATCTTTAGCTTATCCCTATCCACAAAAGTAGCATTGCACATGTTGCTATGCAACTCAAAGACTCCAAGAAAAATAGTTACAAAGTTTGGTGATTACTTCTAAGTTTTGTTAAATATTTTGACTAGGTTATAAGGGTATATTAATGCTATCAATATATTGACAAAGACATGTTATTCATGAACTACGCATATGGTCAAGATTAGTATGGTATACGTGATATAATAATGAAAAGGGGTATGTTTTGTTCCTATGCTACATATCCTAAATTTTGATATACTAAATGATGTTTCTACCTACAAAAAATGGTCAATAATATTGTCTTACAAATTATCTTATGGATGAGTTTAATTTTCATGACGTTCCTAGGTGAATATATTCATCATAAACTACCTTTTAGGGATAAATTCTCTATAGTGTTATTGATAGGTTTCTAAGTATTATGTTTATTATCCATTTATAGACTTTTTCATAGGCTGAACAATGCTAATAGCACTAGCAGTAACTAATATTGGCAATGACTATTTGACTACATGTAGGAGAAATTCTCTAATGGAGAGGAAATAAAACTTTGAACTAGCTACCTAGGAATTCTCTTTCATTTTTCCCCTATTCACATTTAAATTAGTACATTTATAGTACAAAATACTAATTTGGACCAATAGGAAGACATCATTTTCAATAACATTTACACACAACAAGGCTACACCATATACAATGTTACATATAATACATAAAATATTCATTTGGTAG